ACAGACTTTCAGATGTGCGTATTAAATTGAAGTGCGTGAATTTCATGCACACAAACGTCGTAATATTTTGCATACAAATTTTCAGATGTACGTAATCGGTTAAAATGCATGAGTATCATGCCTAAAAACACAGCAATATATTGCACACCTACATGCTCTTACATGTCAAGGTTAAAATAAAAATATAACATGCAGAAAATTTCCTCAAGAAAGTTTGATTCTAGCTTCTAAGTGAAAAAAAAACACTGGCGTAATCTGTCCGATTATTTTTGCAAGCTTCAATACATATGATGGTTGCGTTGTCCCGGGGCTGAACATTTTACATCCGCCGCTCGTAATGCGCTGTTGGGGTCCGGATTTTAGTCAGTACCGCAGTCGTATCTTGATGGGTCTCGCTAAGTCGCTTGTTGGCAGTCATCATAAGTGTATTGTGGAAGAGTCCCATTAGTTGGCAGTCGTTGAAAAAGAAAAATGACCTATTATTTTAGCTCAAAAGTCGTTGTAAAGTAAAAAAAATGGTCGATAACTTCAGCGAAAGTCGTTGAAATTCCAACGACTATTGCCACTGTATGAAACCTGGAAGACTGGTTTCCAGAGCAGACAAAATCCTCAGATACCAGAACCAGAGAGCCTATCAAAGGTCATTTTGGTGGAACCAATTGGTGACGGCCAGTCATCCAGGTCATTCTTTGCAAATGAGGTAAGACTAACTAGAGACCTGTCAAATTCAGCATTTGGACTTGCTGGAATTGAGACAGTAAGCAAAAATGTCAGCAGAAATTTNGCGAGTGGTGAAGAACCAAGTCCTCAGAAAGCAGATAGAAGAAGAAGAAGAATTTAATGTTTGAGAGAGAGTCAGCCGGAGATACACATGAAGTCATAATAGCTATAATAAAATAGGCAGCAGTTGAAGCTACGGACGACAACGGACGTGTGTAAGTTTTTCTGCCATTTATCGACATGTGACGACGAATATTTAATTGAGATTATTTCATTGATAGTTGAACTTTGAATCAATAGTTGAATTCGTCAAATTACACAAAAAACTGATAAAATGCCCAAACGCAGGAAAAATGAACAAGGGGATGCTGCTTCGGTATCATCTGACTGCTCCAGTGCTCCGAGACCAACTCTCACTCAGTTACTGAAGTGATGATACTGAATTGAGCAATTCAGTATCATCTGACTGCTCCGAGACTAACCCTCACTGCTCACTCTGCAACACTCTCTAAGCCTAATCTCTCTGCAAATGCCATGCCAACCTGGTCTCAAATGCCGCCTCTCAGCCTCAATGACACTGTCCTACCTAGTACAGAGGTTGAGGTACATGACAATGATGACATGGATGATGGATGACTTACATGTTAATGACACAGATACATTTGAGGGCTTCCTGCCTAGGCTGGAAAGCAATAATAACAACCTTCTGAATGCCAATGATCAATTTGAATTTCAGCAACACGCATCCATGCCAATCCCTAATCATCCTGACTCCAACAATAAAGTAATTATCATAATATCATAGAACCTGTTGCAGATCCTGATGGCCCTGGTGCTCGCCCATTGAGTAAGTTCTTCTCTAATGATATTGCTATTAGCACAGCTCTGGCTAAATTGCCATTTGGTCAAGTTGGTATTAGCCACTTCTCTAAGAACTCCAGACGCCAGCTCCTTGTGGTGACAGTGAAAGAGGATGCCCCTAATGATCTGACTCAACTTCTACGCGTAACTAAACTTGGCTTGTGGAGAGTGAAGTGTCATCTTCCTTTGAACCAGACAATGTGTTCTGGTGTCATTAGGCCATTTGGAGAGGACATATCTGATGAGGAACTAACAGCTGCTCTCAAGGAATCAGGACTGACAGGACACAAGGATGTGAGCGCAGAGCAAATACTGAAAGGAAAACAACCAATTTGGACTTCTATGTTCAAGATCAGTTTCCCCTCTAGTACTTTACCTGCATACCTCTATGTCGGATATCAGCGGTTCAAAGTTAACCCTTTTGTGGCTGACCAATGGCAGTGCTACAAGTGTCAAAACTTTGGGCACAATGCCACTTGCTGCAATCCTGACATGTACTATGCCCTATGATGCTTTTATGTCCTTACTCCTTTGTTGAGTTTGTTCTACCCTCCTTCCTTCATTTTCATTTCCCCTTTTCTTTCTCATTTCCCTTTCTCTTCCTTTTTTCTCCTCCTTTTTTGTATTTTTATTGATTTATTTTTTATTTTATTTTTGTTTTATTTGTATTGTAATTTATTTTTTTATTTTATTTATTTGTTTTTATTTGTTTTTTGCATTATTATTATAATTCTTTTTGTATTTTTTTATTAATTTATTTTATATTTTTTTCTGTATTTTTTTCTTTATTTTTTTTCTCGTTGTGTGTGTGTGTGTGTTTTTTTTTTTTTTTGCAGATTCTTTTAGATTATTAGACACTTAGATTGTTACTATATGATAGTTAGGCGTAAACCAAAAACTGTTTAGGCAAGGGGCTAAATGGACCTGTTTCTAGTGCTTTTATAAGAAGTAACAAGAAGAAGAAGAAGAATTTAATGTTCAAGAGTGGAAATAGGTTACAGCCAGTACTGAGTGCACATGTTGTTAACGGTGTCCTACTAAACCGCAAAGTGTAAATCATTACAGCAAATCTACACTTCTCACAAATTAAATCACTTGAAAATCATTAAGGGATCTTAGCCTGAGAAGTTTTCATGTGGAAATCAAAGAAACAATCTGTATTGGGAACAAAACCACCGGATGGCCAACCAGCAAGGATGACTAGAGAAAAGTCAGCTAAACCAAAACTGGCCACTTCATCAGCTCCAACTGAAACTTCCTCATCTCAACCAAAAAGCAAGAAAGAGCAAATACTGAAACGTAAGCGCCATAGAGAAGAGTTATCAGACTTTGCTGGATCATTGAAAAGCCAAATGAACTATGATAAGATTGCCTTTACCTTTAGTATTGAAAGCCTTACATCCATTGACTCAAATCTGGAGGGGGTTCTGTCATCTAGTCCTAGCTCATCAAAATCAAACATAGCTAACAACATGGAGGACAGACCACCGTCTGTCAAAAGGACAGACCACCGCACAAAAAACCTTGCCCACCTCTGGAAACTACAACTATAACAGCAAGCTCAAATCATCAAACAACAAGAAATAATTCACCAAGCTGCTTGCAGGATGCTCAACCACTGCAAATGACTCCACAAACTCAACTGGAATTTTTTGAAGACCAGCCTCAATGCCCACACCCAGTGCCAGCACAAGCAAGCACACCAGCCACCACCAGTGTGGAAAGGAGCAGCATCTCAGCCCATGTAGTCCTATCCAGTATCCAGTCTATGTATAGTCCAAAGTATGCCTTCCTCAACAAGGAAAGTTCATGTCAAATGTCTTGATGAAAATGTATCTCTAGCCAAACTGAACCTGCTAAAGCTAGCCAGATCAATAGACTCAATATGTGGACCAGTTCAAGGGATACAACACCTGAGAACAGGAGGGCTATATACCGTCAACTGGGGCTACTCGGGATGGGTGGGGTAACTCTGGACAGTCCACCGACACGGCGTAAAACTGTTTTAGTAGCCAAACTAATTGGAATATTGCAAAACTAAATTTAGTGGTGTAAACGTCAACATTTTTCCTATCTATGTAGTATAAAAGAAGTTCAAAATACTACATTTACTAGCTTTGAAAAATTCCTGAAAAAATGATGAAAAATGATATTTTTAAAAGTTACTTCCGCTAAGGTCTGTAGTAAGAAAAATATTTGCCGTATTAAAAAATTTTGCTTATAAAAAAGTTGCAGACAAGTGTCAGCATGAAAACTTTATTTGCAGAATTTACATACCTCAATCCAAAAAAAATGATGGCCATTTCCGCACGGCAGGGCTACTCGGGACACCCCCCCAGGGCTATTCGGGACACCCCCAAAAATGCATTTACAGTAGAACCTCAGTTAGCAAAGGCTCCAGTTGAGAAAATAATTGATTAAAAACAAAGAATATTGATTACATTCACCTCGCTCAGCAAAAAATATTTCACTTATCAAAAAATGAGTGCATCATTGGTCATCACAAAATTGTGCATAGAATGTCATATATAGAATGAAAAGTAATTGACCTAAACTATGATTTATTTCTCCAAAACATATGATGGTTGTCACTAAAACATTCCTTTCTGTTTCAGGTGTGTTTTTCACAATCTTTTTTATAGTAAATTCACTTAACCCAATTAAAATGGTGTGAAATTACAAACTGTCCGGTAAGCTTACAGATACAGAAAAAATGCTATAAGGCTGCTGATATGAAGCTTGCAGTGGGCAAGGTTGTTGTAAATGCTCAATGGCATGTTCATGAATATGGTAATATTGCATCAATAATACAATAATATCACATCAATAATACGGTAATTAATGTATATGCTAATATCATATCAATAAAGGAAAAACAAGTAAAAATCACAGAAAATGTCATTTATTCTTCCTCTACATCATCTACAATGAAAGAGGAGCACTTCAGAGTACTGTTAGTAATGGATGAGTACTACGCTCTGCATGCTTCAAATGTTTTAAAATGAAGTTTTATTCCAAGTGTCTCGAGTAGCCCTGTTCGACAGGGCTACTCGGGACACTTTTTTTTTTTGCTTCTGGCACCTTACGAATAGCATAAGGAATTTTTTTGACAATGCCATTCGATAGCCCTCACAAAGAGCTATAAAATAAGCCTAATCTTGTTTATGAAATGTTTCATTGTAAGAAGTTATTAACAAAAAAACGCTCAAAACTGTCCCGAGTAGCCCCGGTTGACGGTACTTGCACTGTAGATCTAATACTTATCTTGTCTAAAAAAATCACTCTCAATTAACCTTTTCTTGGTGCAATCTAGAGTGCAATAAGCCACAACTAACTTTTTTTGCTGACTACGTACTCCTTTTAAGGAGTGCCTTGATTTCCCTTCTACATAATTTAATCAGCTTTATTTTCTCCACCAGAGCCCTGCCTTTTAGAGATTCATTTTTTCATTGTTCACATAGATGAACTTTGTTCTATTTTGAGTTACAATTTCATTTGACAATTAACAATGAAGAAAAACAAGATTGCTTTTGGCAAAATCAGTTTAGCCATTAATACAAACGTAGAGAAATCTGAAAATAGTGGCAATACTGTGACAACTGCTTTTGGTTCATTTGGAAAAAAGTTGCCATCGCCTAATAAAACTGAAACTGTTCCATTGGAAGAGAATGCAGCTGCTGATGAGACATCTGAAAAGAGTGAGTTTACATCAAAGGGGCTGAGAATTCTAACTAAAAGCTATTTCCAGTTCAAGTAATTAAGTCTTTCTTCCAATTAGTCATGAAAGTGAACAAATATGCTTACTACATCACTAAGCAGCAGAGATATACCTACCTACTGATCTAGTTGATTTCATATCTTGAGCTCTTTATTGTACAGTAAATTGTTAATATCTCCTTGAAAAAGTCTCTGCCTATGAACAAACTTTATTTACTTTTTTTAATTATCATAAATAATTTACCTTTGCTGTTGTTCACTCACTTGTCACTTCCTGTCTCTTCCTCAGTGGCTGCTGCTATGGGCTTTGCAGGATTTGGCAAGAAAGCAAGACTGTTTGACTTAGAAGAGTTGGCTGAAAAATCTAGAAAGGAAGCAGCTGAGCGCAACAGAGAAAATATTGGTAGGTAACTATTTTGTTGTATAATTTATCATTAATAATATACGTTTAAAAATTACTTTTTAAAGACAACACTTCCAAAGAATCCAGTGTCTCCAATCTTACAGATGTACAATGAATTTCTCATTTAATTTTTGAATATTAAAAAATTTAATTTTTCAATTTTTTTAATATATAATTTTTTTTAATAAATAAATTTTTTTCAAAATTATTTATTCTATTGATTCAGGCATTGCCTCTAACTTCACACAAGTGTGCAAAATTTCAGATCAATTAGACAGGTAAAAGTGTGTCAAATATCAGTTATAAGATTTGTAGCTGACAAAATTACTTTTTCAAATTTTTTAATATTGAAATGATTTTTTATTTTATTTTTAAAATCATTTATTTTGACATTTGATTTATGCATTGTCTCCAACTTTACACAAGTGTGCAAAATTTCAGATCGATACGATAAGTTGAAGTGTATTAAATTTTGATTACAAGATTTGTAGCAGACAGACAGACAGACAAACAAACAAGAAGTGAAGTTAAAGAGAAGTGTTGTAATAATAATAATAATAATATGCGTTTAAAAATTGCTTTTTAAAGACAACACTTCTGAACAATCCAGTATCTTGGATGTTACACATGTACAATGAATTTCTAATTTCGTTTTCAAATATTGAAAAAAAATTATTCATCGAATTTTTTTAAGATATCAAAATTTTGTAAATTTTAAAAATTATTTATTCTGTCAATTGATTCATGCATTGTCTCTGACTTTATGCAAATGTGTAAAATTTCAGATCAATTGGACGGGTCAAATTGTGTCATATATGGATTATAAGATTTGTAGGAGACTAAATTATTTTTTTAATTTTTTTTTTAATGTTGAAAAATTTTTTTTTTTTTCAATTTATAAAATAATTAATTCTGTCAATTGATTCATGCATTGTCTCCAACTTTATGCAAGTGTGCCAAATTTCAGATCGATTGGACAGGTAGAAGTGTTTTAAATATCGATTATAAGATTTGTAGCAGACAGACAGACAGACAGACAGACAAACAAGAGGTGAAGTTAAAGAGAAGTGTTGTAAAATTATGAACACCTTTGCATTTTTTTCAAATTAAGCTGGTGTTACAGCTACAAATTTCAATTTGAAAGAATTTGGAGTAGCTGTGGAATAGATTCTAGTTTTCAATTAATACTTTCATCTCATTATTTGTTTATATGTTTAATGTTATTAAATGTTATTAATTAATGTTATTAATGTTATTAATCCTTCTGTTTGAAGTTATCCATTTTACTTTTTTCTCCATTGCAGAGAAACTTAGTATCCAGAGTTCAGACGGTATTGGTGAAGTCTCTGGTAATAGTCCAAAAGAACCAAATAATGAAGATGTAGCAAGTGCTGAGGATGTCGAAGACGAGGAGCTCATAGGTCCTCCATTACCTCCAGAAATGCTTTCAGAGAAAAACAGCATCAAAATTTCAAATTCATCTTCAAAAGAAAATCAGGTAGATATTGCTGGCAAAGAAGTCGTTTCCGATGCTGATGAGGATGATGACGACGACGATGGTCATGGACTCCCTGTATCTCACGAACTTCCCCTCACTCACGGCACCAAAGCAGTCTCGTCTGTGACCATGGATCCTTCTGGATCTCGGCTGGTTTCTGGCTCTATTGATTATGAAGTCAAATATTGGGATTTCCAAGGCATGGACGTTTGCCACGAGTCTTTCCGTAAGCTTTGCCCTTATGACGGATACCCAATCAATGCGGTGGACTACAGTTGCACTGGTGACAAGGTGCTCGCCGTGTCAGGGTCTAGTCAGGCTAAAGTATACGACCGTGACGGTGCCGAGCTGTTTGAGTGTGCTAAGGGAGATATGTACATCCAAGATATGGGTAAAACTAAAGGTCATGTCTCAGGCATAACTGATGCATGTTGGCATCCTCGGGATAAAGAAGAATTCTTAACAAGTGCACGTGACGGGACGTGTAGGATATGGCACACCAGTAAGCCTTCGTGTCAGAAGCACGTGATAAAACCACGATCTGCCATTGGCTTGAAAGCAAAGCCGACTACGTGTTGCTACAGCCATGACGGTCTGACAGTCGCTTGCGTGTGTGATGACGGCTCCATTCAGATGTGGGATCACAGAAAAAGTTACGTTAACACAATAGTCAATGTTCGTGACTGTCACACGAAAGGAACCAATACCAGTTCTATATGTTTCTCTTATGATAATAAATACTACGGCACTCGAGGAATGGATGATACTCTAAAATTGTGGGATATTAGGAAAACAAGGAGTGCTGTTTTTACCGCTACTGGTTTATTTAATCGTTTTGACATGACTGATTGCTTATTTAGTCCTAATGATCAACTTCTAGTGACCGGTACTTCAATGAACAAGGGAGATAAGAACGGGTCCCTATTGATGTTCAACAGGAACACTTGGAATTTGGAACATTGCATGCCAGTTGGCGAGAGTCATATAGTGAGTCTCTTCTGGCATCCTCGTCTAAACCAGATCTGTGTGGGCTGCGGCGACGGCAAGATTCGTCTACTGTATGACCCCATTCGATCTCATAACGGTGCGGTGCTAGCGGCAGGCAAACGTCGCAAGCGTGTCAAGGATGGAGGCATTGTTCTGTCGCAACAAATTATCACCCCACACGCCCTACCAATGTTTAGAGAGGAGCGCCACAAATCCACGCGCAAGTTAGAGCTCAAGGATAGGAAAGATCCCGTAAAATCGCGTCGTCCCGACCTCCCTCTTGGAAACGCAGGTACGGGCGGAAGAGTCACCTCGGGAGGTTCAACGCTATCTTCGTACATCATACGCAATTTGGGCTTGCAAAACAAGAAAATCGAAGATGATGAAGGTGATCCGAGAGAAGCGCTTCTCAAATATCATGACTTGGCCAAGAATGATCCTTACTGGGTATCACCTGCTTACGCCGCTACTCAACCTAAGCCCATCTTTAGAGAACCAGACGAAGACGAACAGCAGAAGAAAAAGCAAAGAACGGAATAGAACTTAAGCATATGCTCGCAAACGGTGAATACGTTGCTGGGCTAGTGGAAGCTTGCAAATGTAGGACAAAAACATTAACACACTTACAATTAGTTAAACATTTAACAAACTTCGTACCTGTCAGTGTTCATTCTTATCATACATGTCATGTTGATGCTAAATTCTGCGTACGTCTGTCATTTCTTGTACACCCACATGAAATTGTGAAAGAAGATATGCTGTATTATTAATGCGATGATTTTTTCAAGTTCATTATTAAATTCGCTAAGTTAATACAACTTGTTTATTTGGCAAAATCGTACTATTATATTATGAAAAGGGCTACGATACAGATAGATAAGTTTGAACACTTACGTATATGGCACAGCAATGGTTATGATAACACTCACGGTACTCGAGTATTTGATTAGCGGATACGATAGTTGTCTGGATAATATATATTTGCTCGACATTATTGTTCAAGATTTTTACCTATTAACACTCAACGGTTAATATGTATACAATAAATGCCACATAAAATATAGTAGCCTTACGATTCAAGCACTTAAGGTTGATAAAGGCTGAACAAATGTGAGGGCATCAATTTTATAAATCTCGAGCGAATGACAATCGTTTTTTCGCCAAAAATAAGCCGTTGGGAGACATTTAATCTTGGTCAAATTGTCTTGCGTTTTTTATTTACACAACTAGCGTATATTGTAACGCACCTCGCAGGAAGCGTACAATGAACCTTCCCTAAAATATCCATATTTTTTCGATTCAGATGACAAATAAGCTATTAATTGCCAAGTCACCTGCTGTTGAGACCTGCTTTTTTGGGCCGCTGTCAAAATCATTTTTCAAACTTCGTTGCTACTCTTCAGGTTTGTTTCGTCATCATTGTGTTCACTCCGAAACTGTATTTTAGGATCAGTGGAGAACTCGACCACACCGGGGACATCCGTTTTTCGATAATCGTTCGGAAGCCTCCTGAAACTCGAGTCCTGAAAAATACGATTATATTGAGATTCTTGTTGATGAGTAGATTCTGACTAAACGAAAAAGTATTACTCCAAGATAGTTTTGGTCATTCTACGTTGGTGACATACTCCACATTTGTTGGTTCCGATCAATCCCTACACCTTGTCCACAAGTGTGAGGAAAGTGGATTTTCGAACGTTGAGGACAATTTTGGTCACTTTATGTTGATAGCATGCTTCCAATTTTTTGGATCCGACTAATCCTACCTTGTCCTCGGGCATGAGGCGAGTGCTGTTTCGAACGTCGAAGGCCTTGATTAATTCATTCTTTTGAATACTTTCGAGTTGTCCACTCTGCTTCTTTGGAGCTTTGATCGAAAGATTGGAGGAACCGTGTATCTCCTGGTCAGTCGTCAGTTTATTTTGCAGGCTTCTGTGGTAGTAAAATTTGATTAAGCATCGAAGAACAAATAGCAATACCTTATCCTCTACACGTTCTTCAGTGTAATCAATGAGAGGCCGTTTATTTACGCCCCAAATAATCCGAAATATTTTTTTTTACTCGGAACAAATTATAATTTCAATTCGATACCCGTCAGAATGAATAATAGAGGATTTTATGCAATTTAAAGTAAAAATTAGCCATAAGGCCTGCCTCATCATGTCAACAAATTCAAATCAATTCCTTACTTAAAGCCTAACGACGTACCTACTAGAAAACATAGGACAATTGTAACAGTTTGAAAGACATTTCATAATCCATTCAAATAATAAGACAACATTTCAAACCCTTTCATCTGGTCGATAGCAAAATTACCTCGCGGGACTTTTTTTTCAAGTATTAACACGAAATAATTACGAAAATACATGTAAAGCGAATCAATAAACAATCAATTAATCGATAAATTGCAGTTTGTGAGAAATAAAACAACAGATATGTGCGTAGCAAAAAAAAAAGGGAATTGAATCACTTTCGAGGTACACGGAAGACGTCTTTCTGACCAGCAGCTGCGAAACTAATTATTAGGAGCATTAGTAAAAAGATTAAGGCTTGTAATAAGTTAAAATTAAGAACGATTAACAGGTCACATCCATACATTAATTTTGAATGTACCAGAAGCTCAATTTCTTGATTTAGTTTCGAATACACACGGATCTTCTTAGCAAACGGTTTGAATTGAAGCTCCGTAATGGAAGATTAAACACTAGGTCTGTCAATCAGCGCCATACCATACCGGTACAGGGAAAGCAATACCAGTAGCAGGGTTAAATGCCTACTCGCATTGTGACAAGCTGAATAATATTGAATTTAATGTACAAGTACGTATAGTTAAATGTTCGAGATTTTTCAACAGACTGTAACCAAAGCGTACTTCTAAATAGAATTAATAATTTTTAGATACCCGGATGACTTTCACGTTGGCATTCTAAATAAGGCCCATCCAGAATAATTTCTTCATCAAACCATCTGAGTCAACTCGTTAAGTTTATGACCATAGGAGAAAAATGATTTATTACACCGATGATTAGTCCAGATATGAACAAAACAGAGCTATTTCAGCTGTTCAAAGCAAAAAAAAAAAAAACAATGAGACTCGAATAAGAGCAGATAACGAACTTTTTTTCCGCGTAGTAATGAACAATACTTCCGCGTGCTTCTGGTGCAACGCCGATCACATTTCTAGAGAATTCATCGTCGTTTAATTTCTGTCTAGACAATTTCTGGTCGTTTTCTGCATGGTGGTCTGCTCTTTCCACGGACATACTCTCCATTGTCTGAATTACACTTCCTACTCGCTGTAGCTCAGAGAAGTTCAGCATAACAGTTGACTTGTCATGTTCTAGTCCCACGTCGTCAAGTCTACTCGTCTCCGTGCAGGCATCTGAGTGACTGGAAAGACTTTATTTTTCTCACTGTGCATGAAATTCAGATCTCATGAGACAAGTGAATTTCTAATTGAAAAAAATATAAATAATTTCAATCACTGATCTTTCAAAGTGTTAAATAATACAATCCAATATTATGACTTTGATAATATTTTGAATCGTATTTTTAATAAAGCCATGGTAAAAAATCCAAATAAACTAAATTTTCCATTTATGGTGAAATCTTTGCCCAACAAGCTGTTTTAACAAATTGATGCGCAATCGTGTTACTTTCTAGCCGCAGCTAGTAAGTGTAAGAGCTTTGCTCAGCAACATTATTTACTGGTCTCTCAATTATTTATTTAGGGGTAAATTCCCACCCGAGCACTAAGGAGAGTTCTTCGACCCAAACGCGCAAGCTGCGACTTTTATACCTATCATGACATGAGTAAAAGATTTTCTTTCGAGCAAAACGCTAAACTAATCTTTCTATAAATTTTTAGTTTACCTATGGAACTTGCGAGATGAACTGGAGGCTACGGAGGTGAATGTGGTCAAGCTGGCACTCCTGAGACTCCTCACCTTCCCAGACAGCTTCTCATACACAGCCAGCCATACCTAAATGAACGCGATATATTTTAAAAGGTATCAGTTTTATATTGTTAGTCCATATAAATAGTGTAAAATTTTACAGTTTTTCTACATACAAAATTTATGTGCGCTTGTGCGAAAGGAGCGAGTTTTTTTAATGAAGAAATGTTGAATGGATAACAATGCAGTACATAGAGCCGAAATTAAACCTCGCGGCGTGCGTTGTGTTCTTAAATTTTGTAATCATTATGGAACAAGTGCATTCGGATCTTCTTTTTTCGAGGCTCTTTAAAATCATCCCAAATATATTTAAATCTGTGTATACTGTCATAAAATAAGGTTTGACGACTTAGTTCTTAAAATATGCATCGAAATTGGATGATACTCGTACCTTCTCTTTCAAGTCGAAGCTGATAAATATTAAGAAGCCTTGCAGTCCATTCAAAACCGTGAATAAATACCAGCACGCGGGCAGTCCTGTGTATGCGGCTAGAAAACCCGTAGTCCACGTGAGTCCTTGGATGACTCCAAGCTTGATGTAGAGCAGCAGACGAATGCAATCCTTTGGCTCCGTCCTTTTCTGCCAAGTGAATCATAGATATTTTAAAGTATTTCTTTACCTATTTATCATGAGCCTTCAATTGAAAATCATGTCACTATCATCGAAGTTTTCAATAATAGGCATTAAAAAATTACTTTTTAACGACAACACTTCTAAAGAATCCATTGTCTCCGATGTTACACATGTACAATGAATTTCAATTTTGTTAATTATTAAAAAAGTAATTTGTATCTTTTTTAATATTAAAAAATTACATTTTCAAAATTAATTATTCTGTCATGCATTGTCTGATTTGTCTCCGACTTTACGCAAGCGTGCAAAATTTCAGATGGATTGGACAGGTAGAAGTGTGTTAAATATTGATTATATAAGATTTGTAGCAGACAAAATTATTATTTCAAAATTTTTTATATTAAAAATCACAATTTTTGAAATTATTTATTTTGTCAATTGATTCGTGCATGGTCTCAAACTTTACGCAAGTGTGCAAAATTTCAGATTGATTGGAGTAGAAGAAGATAAACAACAAAAAGTGAAGTTAAAGAGAAGTGCTGTAAAGTAGTTCACCTGGTTATAGCTTCCTGACTTCGGATTTTCTGGAATTCGTCCATTGTTTTGATTTTTGATACTCTGGGACCTCATGTTGGCAAATTTGGAGTACTTCGATTGCTGATAAATACCGTACGAAGTGGCAATGAATAATGAAACATTCTCGAGTATGATGACGCCAATGGGGAGTAGGAAAAATAGAATAAGTGCATCCCGGTTATTAATCCAACAGAGATTGCCGGCGTTGTATTCCGGTTGGTATTCCGGCATGATGTCCGTGAACTGCACAACCAATGCAGATAAAATCACCAGTAGAGGAACACCCCACGAATAACAGGCATATTTCAAAAATGTTTTACTGCTACCGTCGGATCCTCGATGCACTGCACCTCTGAATGTGATGTACACATCTAGACTCATGACATTCATCCAGCAGAAAGATGCTAGCCAGAAGTAGTGGAGGCTGATGCCAACAAGGATGCATAATCCTGAGTGCCAGTGTGCTTTCATTCCCGTCAGAAGTAGGATGTGAGCCATCAATAAACTGAATGAAAGCGAACATAAATTCCTCCCCGGTAAGTTCCTAATTTTTGGGTACACCCAGTAGATTAATATGTGGGCTGCCAAACACAACACAGATATTACCAACACTACAAAAGTGACAATTTTCTGTGGATGAGTTATTGTGGAGAGGTAAACATATTTCTCATTACACACTAGCAAATCGAAGTTTTCCAGTTCATACTCCCCGAATTTATAAATGTGCTTAGAAGATTTTATGGTCACAGATGAGTCGCTTTCGCTAATACTGTACTGATCCTTAGGAATAGAAATTTTAGGGCAGGAATCATTCAGAATAGAGTCTTCGGATGTGATTGTCAGAGCCTGTCCATATGTCGGTTCTACTGCTGATGAATTTCCAGTTCTGACACATGTACCTTCATTTAGAGTGAACAATCTCCCACACCTGATTTTATGACACACACGATTGACAGGATCATAGAGATCCTGATCGCTGCAATTTACGGACTTGAAATCCATGAGCGTCGAGAACGTTTGAGGGAGTGTAATCAAGCGGTGAATCCGAACGTGGCCTTTTGAAGGCATGCAGGTGAGCTGACTGACGTTAACGCCGTTGCAGAGAGCGCAGTGAGGATTTTTGTACGATATTTTACCATGAAGACTTGTCATGGCATATTGACGGCACTTCTCTCTGTCTCGGTTGCTGGGCCAAGAAGCACTGCATTCTCTTACCTGTAAATTGCAACTCATATTTACAGTTGGCAATTAAATTTTCTTTTGGCTGATGATTATTCACCATGATGAATCCATAAGCATTAAATAATTAAATATTAATGTTTATAACAGTTATTTTTCGTGCTCATACCAGGCTTTGACACTTGTCGTCTATGGAGCAGATTGGCTTCGGGTTGACGCACTGGCGGCCACTGAACTGACCGATGAAGTCGTTTGGTCTCGAGAACTCTTCTACCTGAAGAAATAAACAAAATAGCATACTAATTCAGCCCCGCGTAAGATTTTGAAGCGTAGCTTCATGAAATATTTGCCACCTTATGAATTTAAGACAAGAAGGTTCTTGGCATTTCCTCGAAGTTTAAGATTACCGTAAAGAGGCAGAAGGCTTGGGATGCAGATTTCCACTGACGCAGTCCTGGTCGGTACTTCGCCTTCTGCAAGAACTGCTGCATCGAGACGTCTTTAGGGAACTGCCATTCAAGCCATTGGAATAAAAAACACAAAGTTAGTGTTTGTCTTATGGTTTCCACTTTTCAAACCTTCTGTATGTCATTACTATTAGTGTGATTATCTTCTCATTGCTTCGAATGCTAATTTTTCAGCGTATCATACATGAACATTTTGGAGTGAAAGCTGTTAAAATGATCGTTAAAATCAATTCAGGCTCATTTTGATCCCAAGTAATTCTATTTTTGAATAAATGATTTGCTTATTTTTCATAATATTATCTCGAATAAATAATTCAACATACTTATACAATAAGGAAGTTGGATAAACATGTGAATTTTTTAATGGAAGGCAGCTAATGACTTTCTAACTCTCAGCTCAGAATACATGATCGGCATTAATAAACTTTCATAGGGAAGCCTGGGCACACTGTTGGTTATGTAGTGCTAGAATATATGATATTCCTATAAAAAAATCAAGTTTAATAATAAATTCTAATTATTTTTAAAATTTTTCTTCATGATCGACTTGTTACAAACTATACATTGCCTGTTTGCACGTCTTTTTTTTTGGGGGGGGGGTAATTCCCACTATTTGTTTTTCTGCAGCTTTTGCACCAACCAGTCGCTGCCCAGAAGCCGCCCATGGATTGTGCACCAGAAGTAAAAACAACTAAATTTGTTTGCAACGATAGACAGTCCAACAGCACACAGCAGGTTAATTGCCGTTAAAGGAATCCGAGTGCGTCTCTCAACGAAGGATTAATGAACCCGAATCTAAAGTAGCCAACAAATAATTATCTTAAGATATAACTGAAGCGACAGGAGGATATGAAATTGTGTCTCACGCGTGCACACTTGATCGAGACATTCCAGCGATGCAGGTTGTTAGCATCGTCATGGCACAGAGCGCAGTAGTAGTTGACGTACGTCAAGTTCGACCTGTGCGACGTCACAGGCAAGTCCATTAAGTACGTGTAATTCGTTTCTGCTACCTGTAAGAAAGATCATCATCACCTGTAAGAAGAATAACTGCGAAGATGTCATTACGCCTAATCATTGTTTTGGCAGCACGTTATCCTCACGTTTTACCTCTAGCGCACTTGAATACAGGCCTACTGTTTTTGGTGGGTGTTCAGTGAGCACCCTACATGCGAGCACCCAGCTCACAGAAGCACCTCTTTCGAGTTTTCACACCTGGAGTCTTGGACATTGGTGAAATCAACGTAAACAAGTTTTCTCACTAGCGTGAACCTTGTTTTCCTTACAGTACAGATGTATTTTAAATCATGAGTGAACTCTAGATGTTGTCATGTTGACATCCAGGCATCGAAAATTAATGGCAGTCGGGTTAAAGCCATCATTGAAGATTAGTGCGCAGCACTTCTGACGTAAAAACTTTTATTTATCGTGCTGAACGGCCTCCAGGAACTTGATTCTTTGCATTAAATTATATGCATCGACAGGAGAATGAAATCTAGTTCGGATTTTAGCTAAGCCTATCATTTTGCATACCTACCAGTTAAGTGCACATAAATAAATCGCGTCATGAAAATCGTCCTGTTTACAATCGTAAGTAGCTCGCTTATACACGATCCATCATCTTATTTGGAACGATAAACTCATACTCTATAAAATGTAATGTCAAGGTTTTTTTAATGTTACGACTTACTCGTCTCGCATATGAAAACTAAATCCAAAATTGCATTAAAATTTCAGGTTCTAAAAGCGTCATACAGTAAAATTATGTGATCGTAAAGTGTTTACTGGTCACAAATTCGAATTCATTGCACATTTATGAGTTTAAGAATTATGCAAGAAATTTCATTGTACAGCTCATGAAATTTTACTCGAATATTAATTTATATAAATCGTAATATTTTCATTCATATTTTGAAGTGCAGAAAGTCATTTTGCGAGCATCATAGCTTTATCGTTATTCTAATAATCTGATGGGATTACCGTGCGGAGACATTGTTGTTCCAAGTCCGTGTCCTGATACTTTGAAGGGCATGATCCCACCATGTAGATCCCCGTCATCTGAAACATACATCAAGTGTCATATATTCATTGTGTAGGAAGCTAAAACGATATTTTTTATACTACTACGCGTTGAACGTGTCTTTATCACTTAACCAAGGCCTATAGTGTTGAAATTTGTCACTACAATAGGGTACAAAGATCAACTTTTACTGTGATGCAGATCAAAGCGTCAACTGCACAACAGTCGAACCTGGAAGTCCAGAGCGGCGCATACGAATGATCGACGTTCGGGCAGTGACTGAAGAATAGAACTTGACGTGATACTCAGGACGTCGTGCTCCACGGCGCTGCTCAGGGCGCTAGTCATGGCCTGGGTATCAAATGTCAGGTCAGCACAGCAACGCTTTGTCGGAGAAATAGATGTTGTGAACGACCCTTCTCTATGAGTTTCAGAAACACGAATTTCCTCCTGAATATTGTGTGTCGTGTCAGCATCATGACTCCCCTCAGGAGAACTGAGTGTCGTGTCAGCCGAACGACTCTCTGTCAGGGAACCTGGTGTCTTGTTAGTATCAAGGCTCTCAGTCTGGTAATCTGTTGTCGCGTCAGCAGCACGGCTCTCGGTCTGGTAATCTGCTACCTTGTCAGTAGCACGGCTCCCAGCCTGGTAATCTGTTGTCGTGTTAGCAGCACGGCTCTCAGTCTGGTAATCTGTTGTCGTGTTAGCAGCACGACTCTCAGTCTGGTAATCTGTTGTCGTGTTAGCAGCACGGCTCTCAGTCTGGTAATCTGTCGTCGTGTCAGCAGCACGGCTCTCAGTCTGGTACTCTGTTGTCGTGTTAGCAGCACGACTCTCAGTCTGGTACTCTGTTGTCGTGTTAGCAGCACGGCCCTGCTGTAGATTCAGTGTCAGATCAGCATCACCCAGAGTCGCGCCACTAGCTACGCGCGCTGCTGCTGCTGCTGCGTAGTCGGCGCAGCAGTCGCCGTACAGCAGACAGTCCGAGTCACAGCGGCACGGCCTGTAATAATTAGTTATGGCAAGATGGTGCATGGACAACATTTAACTGTCCATGAAAGCCTTCTCATCAGCTATAAATATAATCCTAGACTTTGAAAATTTCTTGATAACTTTGTTTTATGCCTAGTTTCAGGTATTAAGAGCATCTGTTGGAATTGTAAGACAGCGAGTGAAAGAACAAACGAGAAAATAAGGCTTCAATAACCATGTCATTTGAGTAAACTACCTGTTGGAAACTAATTGCCTATCAATATATTTTCTTCTTTCTGTTAAAAATGTCATCAGTAGCTAACTGGGTGAGGCCGTTGTAGTCGACGTCGGCCGGTTGGTGTAGCAGCAGAGTGTCGTTATGGAAGCACTTGAAGTCCTCCTGACGGCAGTTGAGGAGCTCAGACATCGCTTGCAGCTCCTCCTCCACTTCCCGCCAGAACTCTTCTACTGACTCCTGGAGATTGATAAAATATCGATAAAGTTATTCAAACTTAATGATGATTTTAAAATGTAAGTTCATTTAAGCAGACATTTCGTGATAATGTTACACAGTAGATGATGATTCCTTTGTGTCGTAGCTAATCTATTATACTCAAGATATGTTCAAGCTCGCAAGCAGGAGCTCGAGATATGGTTATTGTATTGCCCTGGCTCTTTATAGTGAAGAATTAAAAAATTATTATTCAAGTCATTTATACGAACCAACAGCGTCGGTTGAGTGCCTTCGAGGCCTGGGGAGCGTTGGGCAGCACACACTCCACCAGAAACCAGCGAATAAGTCACGACTGCCATTAGGGACCTCAAGAGGAAACATGGCGTCCCAGGCTTCCTCGTCCCGAGCACAAGCAATGTCATCTATCGGGATGAAATACTAGACAGATAATTAAACTTCCGGTAAAAAAATCTGTTAAAAAAACTGTTCTGTCGATATGGAGTGTAATTCTACTAATTAATCCCAGTTGAAGGAAGGCGCTCTTTTCAATGAGCAAGAAACACACAAGTCATTATCAGCTTTGTTTACGTGACTGCAGGCTTCAGCTAGCCTTAGATGAGGTCGGGACAACCAAACTCAGCGCCTCCTGCCTCTGTTTAGTCATTCGCCGGCGCACCAGGTCCATCCGATACGTAAATGTTTACGCGTCTAGAAATGCCGCACTTCCCCACAAGTGTGAAGTGTTCTTGCGTGTTTTCTAACAAAATACTTTTATATCACAAAAGGTGCACTTGATTTTATCAATATATAGTTAGACCATAGATGAGACTTAGTCGATGATAATTGACATTAACAGTGCGCGCCATTGTTTGTGAACATTTCTTTCTTACATTATCTGAACCCACTTCATCGAGGAAAAGTGTTCGCTGCTGATCCTAACTGTGAAATTCGGCCATTTATCCAAATATTAAACTAAAATTGTTGTTTAAGCGTTTCCCAGTAATGCAACTCATTGAAGCCGCAGTTCGCGAAAATATCAGAGAACTACGATATCGAGCTATAGTTCCTCACCAGTCACCACCAATATTTTTATTTCCTCGAAATAATGAAGGAACATTTACTTATTTTAAAGTTGCTTGCTACCGTTAAAGTTAATCGAGAGTCAGTCTCCGATGTATCAAGGCTAAGATAAAAAGATAGTGACCAAGTGTCTATTCGTTCGCGTTCTTTGAGCTTGAGCATCCTATATAATATGTCTTTTCGAGCAAAAACACCTCACCTTGTAGTCTTTCGTTGGTAAAATATTAGCAGACCGGCATGTGTTTGCGCTGCTTGCTTGACTGCTTGCGCCTATTATCTTGATTGAAGGCAGTAGGTAAACGACAAGCTTCCGCAAAACTATTGAGCTGCGTCATTATCGCAACGGCCACCAACGGGAAAAAGTGTAAAAAGAGCACGTTTCTCAGATAGGGTTCTCTGTTTAGCTGTTGCATGAAGTTTATGTTACGTTAATTGCTTTGTTCACAACTGTGATTCTTTATAGCCTATCATGTGGCATTGCAATTCCTTTGAGGTATATACATATTTTTGGCTGCTGTTTGTTTAGGCGAGAAGGAACGTTTACACGGGCAGCCGCGGTCTGTCGCTCTTCCTTGAACCTGCAGGCGCAATTTCAAGTCACAGATCAAGTGCATAAGTTAAACTTTCTTCTTATTGTAATCATTAAATCATGCCAACTTTATGATCAAATTTAAAAAAATGACTCAACCATAAGTGCACCGAAAGCCGTACTAATTTTGCAATTAATATTTTCTAGTAAACATTCGCCTCCATCGAGATCGGAATCCTCGAAACCATGAAGACCTCATCTCGAGGTCTTCATGATGGCGCAGGAATCAACACAGAGATATTTTTTCTTGCGAACAATATTTCTCGTGCCACCCTCTGGTCCCAATGAGTTTTAACGATGAATTGCGATCAGCAGGGACAGATGGCTGTCTGGCGACTTCGTTAGCATCGCTGCGGGGCCGCCACATGACCTGATAACGACCACCTGCCTGGGATCGATCGCTGTCCTGGCCTTGATAAATCTATTTCTCGCAGTAAAACAGGAACAGGTTTCTTGGTGTAATGGTGAATTTTCTTTTCCTACTGACGGCTAAATTTTGCAGGGTAACGTTTGCACTGTCAGCATAAATCGATAAGTTTGTGTAATTCCAATGACATTTTCAGCTGGATGCTGAGCAGAGCTACCAGTAACAAAAAAATGAAATCTTTATTTGTGAACAACAGGCGCTGCTGTAGCAGCTGTACTACTTCTAAAAACAGGAGTTGTCGCATATTCTCTTGAAATCAAAGTTTTGAAAAGCAAACGTGCTAGCAGGTGCGGCTATATAACCAAGCAAAAGTTTAGTTTGATGATTCAGAACGGTTTTCAGCTTATTCAGCCAAGAAAAGATCATATACGTATAGAAGCAATTCTATTAAGGTATAAAATCTCTTTGCTAATTGACGGCTGAATGAAAAAAAAAACGAGTTGAAAAACTCCTTTTGGGGCGGCCGGCAAACGTTTTGCTAGTTGAGAGGATGAAAAGTGCTGACAAAAGTGGACGATCAATTATTTCTTTCGTTCTTGGAATGGTAAAACGTAAAAATTAAAACGGAGGATTTGAAGTTGCGAGAGTGCAGTAATTAAAAATGCGTTGACCAGCTGACGAGGGACAGGTACTGATGAAAATTTATTGTAATTCTACCGGCTATTGCAGTTAACATTCTTCTTCTAATAACTGACGGAAACAGATTTTACTAATGGATGAAAATAAACCGGTTTTAATTTGAATGTTGACAGGCGCATTGAACTTTTGCCTCCGATTATGATAGAACATAATGAATTAAATTAATTTTTAAAATCGAACGGCCTATAATATTCCGCGAAATCTCAGCTTAAGAATTACAAATCGACAGGATTTTCATTGAATCATACACTGCAGCCTTACAAACATTAAGCGAAGCCCGAGCGAATAAATCACGGGAATTTGCAGGGTTAGTTTCGTCGATAAGAGGATATTATGCAAATTATGTCAGAAGAAGCCTTGATAAAGCACAACAATGTCAGGGATCTGTACAGGAGTTCCTCATATTTATATAGGTTTTATTACAAGTGTATAATATCCCCAAACGTTAGTGGCTTCTTAGAATAGAAGTATCGGCGTTGAAGAAATAGGCCTATGGCCTGTTGCCGATTCTTGAACTTTTCGTGACTTGATTCACAAGGGATCCGGCCTTTGGAACCCGATCTTTCTATAACTGACGATTGATTGAGATAGCTGCTGGACTTATTGCCTGGTCCGTAATATTGCTGGGCATTTTAAGACTGAACATATGCTCCTGCATAGCTTCGTCTAGTCTGCTTTTGAAGATGTTCATATTCGGAGCGACTTCATGAAGGGCACTAGGTTCATTCTATCTACAAGCTTCACAAACACAACAATCTACAAACAAGCTTCACAAAAGGAACAAATTGCCCGTGAAATTAATGACTGGGTCAAAGGTGCCCCTCCGACGCCCTGCAGCTCAGGCTGCACCGATATCTGACCCCGCAAGCTCACCATCAGCGCGCTGTCAACTGCAGGCTCGTTACCTGAGTTGTTAGTCCAGTCAGATTGGATGATTTTTATAGCATTCAAGCGATTGTTTACTGGAAATAGCAGCGATCAACTATTAGGTAGCATGCAACATGTTGCAGTCATTTTATATCCAGAAATACTGAAATTGCTGTCTTCATATTATAGTGATAGAAATTCCGTCTCAAAATTGTAGTATTTTTTAATGGTCGCGTGGTTGCGGGTAAAATTGATTGAAAATTACAAGGACACTAGATGAACAACAATTATTTAGTGTAGTTTGATAATAGCAGTTAGCTAATAAAGATTACTCATCTGGATGTATCCAAGAACGAATTAACCTGATTCACTCGCATCCTCTGCATCACTAGATGGGTTTACACGCATCTTCTGGAATGAAATATCTGAATGATTGAGGGTGTGTTTTGGATCAAGTTAGTAAGATTCAAGGAAGTACCCTGTTATTTGGACGAGCCAAGGATTCAGTCAAGAAAACCCCTTTAAGCTCTCGCGTTGATAAAGTAATCAAGTTTCTGTGCCGTTAGGATCTCGTTGGTTCCTTATTAATTTATTGGCTTGGTTGGCGAGAAAATGCACTAGATTGACTTTCGAGGCCAAATTTCATTCACAGACGAGAACTAATTGATCTTTGATATTCGGACCCAGGCTACGCAAGTGATTGTTCGAGCATTTAGTAAAGTTTTCCTCTATAACCTCTACCGGCGAATGCAAATGACAAAGACCCATATGGTAATGGACCTCATTCAATAGTAACACGCTGCAGCTAACTTACATCAACTGCTCTCAATTCATCACCAATTAATGTTTTGAATATATGGAACCCCGTATTTAAGAGAATAATTTATCTATAAAATATTGCAGCAAATATTTCTAAAACTTAAAAGCAAGCACAATAAGTCAGTGTTTTTTTTCATTTTTGTCAAATCGCTTACTCAATTTTTATTCGAGAAGGGCACAATAATATAGTTTCATTGATACCCATCGACCTAGCCTTAAATTCTGTATTATAAGCCAACCTTTTACTGAGAATGACAGAAAATCTTTGATTGTTAAATGCTGAGTAGAATAACAGCCGAATAACGAAGTTCTGGATAGAGAAATCTTATGTCCGCAACCGCGTGGCCTGCATATGCTAAAAGAACCGGCGGCCTTATTAGACTCGTCTGATTATTGATCATTTTGTGGCGAGAATTATATTTAATTCGAATTCAATTATTCATTTGGCCCGCGGAGTTAATCGTGGATTTAGTTCGTATGACTTTGCACATAAGAATGTATATAAAACTTTAATCAAGGTTCTCTGGATCACTCCTTTAAGCAATCCGTGGCCTACTGCAAGTACCGAAGCCGATACCTTGAAAGTTCAGAGAGGGATAATGCAATTCTCTGAGAAAACGAAATAAATGAAGTTAATGAAGCGGCTCATTAAGGAGTTCATGGTGTAATTAATGCAATGGTTTATGGTCTACGTTTATAGAGTCGCTCATGTGGTAGTTCATAGATTTCTCCTCGTCCTGGCTGGCCACGTACTGGTTTATAAGATTTTTAAATGACAACAAAATGCAGTCGGACGAGCCAAAAAGCTTTTCGAAGAGTCACGAAAGTCAACATTTGAGTTACGTGCCTCATGTCCAGACGACTCCGTTTTATTGACCGACTAAACAAAGTTTAAAGCTGGTAAACTGTAAATGTCTAATAAAGCCATTGCGGCTTGCAACGACCACTCTGAACTCGTCTCAGATATGTTCATATAAAAACTTTTCCATGTGTAATATTCTGAATAAATTTTTAACATATTACGGTGAACTTATCTGAGCGAGCATATTTACATGACAAATTAATATATTACAGAGAATTTGCATAAACCTAAATAACACCTTACACATCAATTCAAGGAGTTAAACATATCGTAAATTAAAAATGGAGCAAAAATACTTACGTTATCTGTAAAAACTTTTTAGTTGGTGAGAGAATAACGGTGAATATTTGTTGTGGGCTGGAGCGGTTTGCCCCCCAACATCACAAATGATTGTCTATCGTATATTCGAGAAAGTCTCTGTTATAGCCTTGCTGCCTAAAATATAATTGCCGGTCTAACAGTTATCCACAATACTTATGGTATTGACATATTACCTGCACCTGAAATTGGACTGAATAACGAGTTGGAAAATAGCGAGGCACTGCAGCACGGTAAGGGAATGTTTCCCTATCTTCTAGCAGTTTACTCGCTTTCTCCACGGAGTCTCCAAAACTCTGATGCCATATCGCAGCAGATCCAAGAATTAGATGGTAAATAAATTTTAGAGATTAACAAACATTACAGGATGAGCATATTTCTGTCCAGATTTTGCTGCTGGAAACCAACGAAAAGTTTTTTTTATTATCAAACTGTTTTTTCTTCCTGCTGTCATTATTCAGAAATTGAGTAATAAATTAGCAAAAATTCAGTTATATGTATGTAACGTTCACTCAAAATCAGACTCAAGAGGAAGGCTCAAAGAGACCATGAAGATGGACGTTGAGATCAAATACTAGTGTGAAAGTCCTAAAGGTTTCCCCGAAATTGAGTCGTCGTTTCACAAGAATTTTACGATGGCGGCCTGACAAGTCGACCCCGGCACGGCCGGTCAACAGGGGCGAGCCGCAGCCACCGAGCTTCATCATCGAATTTAAACCAAAGAAAAATTTTATAAGTTGATAAATTTTCTCCTCAATCTTAAAAAAGGTGAGAAGTCTTCTATTTTGATAGAAGAGTAATATATATACATCGTTCTTAGAGCAAATTGGCAATTCAATATAGCATTCATGAGCATTTCCTGTCGAAAGTCAGGCGACCGAGTGAAAGTCCCTGAACTCTCGAAACTTTAGTCCTGAACTCTCAAAACTTTTAACGTTCATAAAATGAAATTAATTTATGGATATAGAAGACATGGACAATAAATCGAGAAAGCCGCTCACTATAAACAGGTATCAACGGAATACCACACTTTTAAAAGCTCAAGAATTACAGGATGAGATTTCCAGCAAGTTCTGCTCCTATACGAAAAACAACGCTGTGAGACTGACCCACTACAGGACACTCTCTTTATCAATTTATAAATTAGAGTTTGAAGAAAATAAAAACTAGTATGTTACGATAGAAGCAGTGTGAACGCGATAATACATTTTCACAAGTTCTCATTCTATGAGGGAATCAAACTTGCGGTGAAAATCCAGAAGTCACTTAAAAAATTATTGTACAAACAAGTACCAAGGATCATAACTTTTCGCAATTTCGTTATCATCGTACCGATATCAGTTAACAATACGTGTTTAAAGAAGTGTTCTGCTAAATAAACTGTCAATGTAACTTCAACTCAACATAGGTAATTTCATCAGTTCAAGTAATCATAGTGGAACTCTAAAGTTTAACTGCTGCTTGTCACCACGGAACAGAAACTGTGGTCGCATCGAGGACCACGGCGACAATGCCAACGCTTAATAGCGTCGACTCCAACTGCGATGCAAGCCAAGAGCCTCGCTTGCGTCGGCGCAGAGCCTTCAACTTCTTCACCAGCAACACAGGGATAAGAGCGGGCGTGTTTGTTGGTGGCTTGGTGCTGTGTCTCGGACACGGGATTCGACAAGACAGGAACATGTGTCAGCAAGCAGGTTCGTGTCGTATAAATATTCCTCAATAAGACAGGAGAACGAACAGACATGTTTGTGTCGTACCGTCGCCACGTTCACCGGCAACTCTGGAACTGGAACACGGCACCAAAACCTTTTGGTGCCGTGCCTTTCTTTTGTTCATTTGCAACATTGCGCGGGAACCGGCGTCTCTGTTTGTCGTGGGTACTTTGAACAACAAAACAGGGACGAGAACGGGTGAGTTGGTTGTTGTTGAGTCGTAAATTAGGCTGCTCACAACCCAAGAATGTGAATACGCATGTAAATTGATCAGGTGTCTTGGACACGTTCACCAGGAAAACGATAAGAACGGACATGAGTTTTGGTACACCAATAACACATGAACGAAAATATTTGTTGCCTACTGTAAACAAACATTTTCCAGATACCTTCGGTTCATAATTTTCTTTCCTTCGATCACGTAGCTTCTAACAATTCTACCAATTGCGTGATCGGCAACGAGCCCACTTGGCAGGGCATATCCATGGGCGCTATTAACCGACCTCAGCGTGTGAATTAGTTGTCCATCGAACATTCACGTCAAAAATCAGCCTAATGTGAAAGGTGGACAACTGACAGAGGATGACATACCTAGGACTAAATTCATTGGAAATTAGAAAGAGAGGAATGTCATTCTGTACACAAGGGAAGATAATATCCGGCTTGCCCCCTAACTTTGAACTTGAGACCTTAATTAAGAATAGTAATAACCGAGTAAGAGCAGGAGAGATTATGCCAATTGCGCGTGCACAACCGAGCTACGATCAGTGTCCAACTGTTCATATTATTTGTAATAAATAATTTACATTTACCTGATGTGCGTTACATCCAGAACTAATTTTAGAATTAAATTGGAAACTGCCTACGCACGTTTCTAATTTAACTTTTAGTGTCCATGGCTACGTCCCAGTTTGCATCCACTGAAATTTTAATTCAATTTTTATGAAGCCTCAGTTTTAAATAAGCTAAAAGCAGACAAATGATTTATGTTATTTGGAAACGTTGTTATTTGGAAACAATTTATCAATTATCGCTGCTTCGTCGCCCATCTCGTGAAAGCTGACACTCTGCCTGAAGCCCCTGTCAGCTCATTTTGCGTGCTGACAGTACATGAGTCATTGTCACCTTTTCACGGCCTATTCTGTTTACCACGTTTTTCTTAGCTTCGTGTCGTGTCTGTCATCAAAAATTCAGACCTCAATTTAGAGCTCTTCTGAACATCCCAGAAACTTTAAATTTGGCATGCACGCTTATGCCGCCTAACAATTCAAGATTTGATCATCAGAAATAATATTTCTTAACAAATTGGAAGCCCGTGGTAAAAGGGGCGAAGTCCTGCGGTGGATCAGGAACTTCTTAATTGGGCGACGGCAACGAGTCTGCGTAAAAAACTTTGGGCTGGGCTTTGTTAAGGAGCGGTGAGCCACAGGGTAGCGTCTTTGGCCCCATCTTCATTGTTGCATATATTAATGTTCTCCCAGGTGTAGTATCAAGTGCGTCCATTTGCAAAATGTATGCTGATGACACCAAAGTTTACGCGGCAATAGATCTCCCAAACGACAGAATCGCATTTCACAAAGATCTGCACAATTTAGTGGATTGGGCAGACCGATGGCAGCTTAAAGTACAACGCCGACAAGTGTCATGTGCTTCGTATTGGAAACAAGAGAGAAAAGTTCACTTATGAAATGAGAGAGCATGGCTCAAACAGTGTAACCGTTTTGCAGAGGTCTGTGCTGGAGAAGAATCTGGGTGTGAACGTTGACAGTGAGCTGAGGTTCTCGAGGTACATTGAAAATCTGAAATACAGGTTCATAAGGCGAACAGTATTCTAGGTCTGATTAGAAGATTATTCAAGTTTCTGGAAGCTTCGACAATGAAAACACTATTTGTGGCACTCGGTAGACCACACCTTGAGTTTTGCAACGTTGTCTGGTCCCCCAAACTTGAGAAAGACAAGAAACTTATTGAAGGAGTTTTGAGGCGAGCAACTCGAGTCGTCCCAGGATTTAAGGATGTGGCTTATGAGCAACGCCTGGAGAGGATGAACATTCCTAGTATGGCATATAGGAGAAGTCGTGGCGACCTTATAGAAACTGGCCAATACGCTCATGGCTATTGCCGGAATGAGAATTTATTCACGCTAGACACAGAGGGTATCACCATGGGCCATCAGTTTGCAATAAAGAAACCAAGGTGTGATACTACAGCAAGGCAGAACTTCTTCTTTCATCGCGTGGTTGATCGGTGGAACCATGGTTGAACTAATATAAGGATTGACCCACGGCGATGACGAGTTTTCGCCATTCTGCGCATCTGTGGGCACAAAATGTAAATAGTATAGATCAACACATATACATTGTTTTTGTCATCTTTGAAAGCATTTAAAAAAATTGACCGCATCAAAATGGCCCGAAAAATTCATTTACTGCATGCAGCAATTCTTATTTCAAGCAAAACCGGTGTTACAAATCAGTTTGACATCACGAGGTTACGTCACAAGAGCCAAGGTGACGTTACAGTTGGAATAACAAATGACATCCGCAAGACGCAGCTGCACTTGGGAAAACCTTGTATTAGTTCAACCACGGAAGAAATTTACCTCATTAAATGACCCAACAAATTTTATTTACTCTAAGTAGTCTTATTTAAGCAAAACAGGCGTTACAAATCAGTTTGAATCACACGGTGACGTCACAAGGACCAAGGTATCGTCACAGGTGGAAACCGAATCGACACTTTAGCGAACTCAAGCGCGAACTCAAGCGCGAGCTCAAGAGGCAAACCTAAATTCACCTTTAACTTACCCAGTCATAAATCCATAAATACCGAACGGATTTCTCTCAAATTTGAAATATAAGTAGATAATATTAGTAATCTGCGGACAGATTTATTTCAGATTTTTACATCAAATACTTTCATATTAATACGGAAAACATGACTTCATTTTCAACTTACCCAGTCATAAATTCATAAATACCGAACGGATTTCTTTCAAATTTGAAAGATAAGTTGATAATATTAGTAATTTGTGGACAGATTTATTTCAGAATTTTACATCAACTACTTTTTCATTAATACGGAAACCATGGCTTCATTTTCAACTTACCCAGTCATAAATTCATAAATATCGAACGGATTTCTTTCAATTTTGAAAGATAAGTAGATAATGTTAGTAATTTGTGGACAGATTCATTTCAGAATTTTACACCAACTACTTTTTTATTAATACCGAAAACCTAACTTCATTTTCAACTCACCCAGCCATAAATCCATAAATAATGAACGGATTTTATTCAAATTTGAAATATAAGTAGATAACGCCTGTAATTTGTGGACGTGATTTTTTCAAATTTTTACATCAATAATTTTTTCATTAATACGGAAAACCTAACTTCATGTTCACCTCGCAGGTTAGGTCCTAGTCAGGTCAAGTTTCAGTATTTTGTGGCATTAGAAAAAAGTAATTGATGTAAAAAATTGAAAAAATTCCATCCACAAATTACAGATGTTATGTACTTATATTTCAAATTTGAATAAAATCAGTTCATTATTTATGGATTTATGGCTGGGTGAGTTGAAAATGAAGTTGGGTTTTCCGTATTAATAAAAAAGTAGTTGATGTAAAATTCTGAAATAAATCTGTCCACAAATTACTAATATTATCTACTTATCTTTCAAATTTGAAAGAAATCCGTTTGGTATTTATGGATTTATGATTGGGTAAGTTGAAGGTGAAGTTAGGTTTGCCTCTTGAGCTCGCGCTTGAGTTCGCTAAAGTGTCGATTCGGTCAGGTGGAATAACAAATGACATGGTGGAACGGCCTGTCAGCGAAGATTGCCGAGGCGACAACGTTGAACGCCTTCAAGAATCGACTAGACTCGGTTATGCGTATTTATTTGTAATGTGTGGAAGAGCCTCCCACCAGAATGCGACCACTGGACACTCGGACTGGGCGCACTTAGAGAGCGCGCGTTGCCAAAATTTTTGGTTTTGACCTGGCCAGGTGCCCATTTTTTTAGCAGTTTGTGTTTGAATGAAAGACAACGAGACTCGACGACAGGCCCTCTTCGGCCTAATCATCTGCGCCGATTCATGCTATGCTATTTACTGTGGGTCTCGAACATGCAACTCACTGCTGAATTTTGCTTTTCTTAACCGCCTCAGCCTCCTTGCTGATTCTAACCAGAAACTGTTGCACTTCACAGAGCTGGGTTCGAGCTCGCATCTCTCTGTTCCAATCCTGATCCTGCTGGTATTCTGCTGAACTGTAACAATTTGAGCTTCGTTTTCGAAGGAAGTGATCATTGGTTTTTAGCAGGTGTTGGTCTCGGACGGCCAAACTGTGTTACATAAGGCATTTTTGAACATTCTATAGAACAAGCGTAACTAATTCCCCCTTTTTACAAATCATTTAATATATTTTTTTAATGCAGTAGATTTTATATCTAAATTCTATTATGAACTCGGATTGGAAACTGATTTAAATCTACCTGAACAAGAATAAAAAGCATAATTACAAATACAATAATCGCATTTTTACCAGTTTAAAGCTTCATTGTTAATTATTTTTAATTTCAGATTGTTAAATTATTTATTTTTTCATAGTCTACCTAAGTAAAGTTTTTTTCCATTGTATGTTGTTGTTGCTTGAACAAAAGCGCATCGAAAGCGCAATAGGGGGATTGGAGGCGACGCTGCATGTGTTTTCTTATTTACGTCGAGTGAAGGTGTTAGTGCGAGGGCGAGAAAATCATAGGCTTTGAAGCTTACTATGAGAAATGTCGACGTTGCTTTTCCTTTCTGCAAAATAAGCTGGTAAGGCTTTATATTTATGTGCACAATTAGCGGTGAACCGGGGGTACTGAGGGTCAATGGGTTCCCTTATTCGGGAGGTTTCATTGTAGGGGTTTTGTGCTGAGCGGGGGACTTTTCCTCCTTGCAGTCACTCATGCAATCTTGATACTCCAACCAGCGAGCGCGATAATGATATGGTCAATCATCGAGCGCAGCCAGTATGATATTTTCTATAAATTGGATTTTCTAACCTGCATCAATCAAGATGGCCGTTGCTGACTTCAAAGTTCAGAAAAAAATGTAGCATCGCTCTCACAACATAATGAACATATAATTATCTCTAACTTCTAGCCTCAGGTTCTAGGTACTACACACAGTACACGACTACACGTACACGTTCAAGCAACTGGAAATAAAATTGAGATATCTCTCATGGCTGAAGTTAGAAATTTTGCTGTTATTTCTTGAGAAACTCTACCCTTATTAATGAATTCTAACGTGAGGTTAGTGCTGAGAGAAAAGCACTAATGAAGGCTTGCCATGTTACTTACCAGTAAGGTCTAAGGTCAAAGTAGGTAATTAGGTACTTGTAGAGCTGTAATTGTAGTCTTGTAGATCAATGTTTCCACCAGTTATGTACACAATAAATAATGAATAATTTAAATTTCAAATGTGAGGATTGTGTACTGTGTAGTTAGGTTAGGTACCATATGATCTACCAAGACCAAGTTGATTTAGTGGCCTACTCCCATGGATGATTGAAATCAGTAAAATGATTATAGTTTAAAGGACCATTTGAATGCACTAAATAGTATTAATATTCTGTAGAGAGTAGTGACTGTGGTCTGTGTGGCATAGATGATAGGGGGGCCCGGGGACATAGGGCACCCGGCATAGGATCACAGCAGAGAGTTTTAAGACTCTTCCTCAAGTTCAATTTTGAGTTGTTTAAGTTATACAAGTATAAGTATAGACCCTCAAACGCAGGATTGGAATTTTTCTACTTGTTTCTAAAATTTTGCAGCTCCATCGTGACAATTTTTTAATACAATTCAAATCTTGCAGCCCAATCTTGCACTTTTATTAACAATTGGATAGGAGGTAGGGTAAATGCACCATATTCTGACATCGTGGGTAATTCCGACACTACTCAACTTTTTTCTTTATATTGAGCTCTGTCTTATTTCCACGTGTGCTAGTATGGAATATATCTACTTGGTGAGCCGCGACTGAATTTTTCGAGCCGTGGTTTTATGGATTTGCCAGCCGTGATTCCATTTCTACGATATTTTTTAATCAAACAAAAATTTATGACATTCGAGCCGCGAGATTTCATACCTACTGAAATTATATGATATTAGAGCTGCGATATTTCAGACAAAAATAGGACTTTTCCAGACTAGCACGCGTGCGTAGATGGTTGAAATAATGACGTCATACTATTGCATGCCAGATTCCCGCAAAACACTAGCTCTGGCAGGAAAATGTTAAGATCCTCAGAGCAAAAGTCCAAGTCAACTACCTAGTGAGAAATGAGAACATCGAAACACGTGTCAAAGTTGATAGTTGACCTTGCTCTACCAAAGCTTGTTCTAAGCTGTGTCGTATTCAGATAAAGCTCACACAGTGCGTCAGAATTACAAATTTATATGAGTTTGAAGCGCTGTCGAAATCAGTCACAAAATGCCAAATTTAGTCACACTGCATCGGAATTAAGGGATTTTGTAGATTTGAATTCTAAAGGCTTTTAGATAAATATGGCAACAGTTTGTGACATTTCATTGTTGCTGGCATGTAGTGTGGTGTTTTGAGAGTGACATAAAGCAATCAGAACTTGAGTTGCACATACAGTGATCTTTTTATAGCCATTCATTTCTTGGTACATCCTTAATGTGTCAGAATATGGTGTTTACCTAACTCATCTGGCGGAAATTTTGCGGTCCCGGAAATGGTGGGGAAGCTCTAGTCATGGCCCTAAAGGTAGATGTTTTCCTGCCACAAAGTATCATGTAGAGTGTAGATCAGCATTATCATAATTCATACATAAGATAAGATATTTGTTTAAATCTCAAGTAAATGGGGAAATAATAAATGAACTGATTCTAAACAATTTCTGGTTTAAGGGGACCGGCTAAGCTCCGGAAAAACTTCTTCAGTTATTATCCGATCATCATGAAACTTCACATACATACGTAAAATGTAAAAATAAAAACATTTTACTTCTATAAATTTTTCGAAAAAACTGATAGAAAACGTGAAATTCATAGAAAACGGCTAAAAAGGGGTACTACAGAAAATCGATCTCCTCCTACAAATATCATCCTACAACATCCAGACACATATCATTCGATTCGTAAAGACCATATCTATCGACGTGGCCATCGCTTTTTTTCATTTTCCCCATATTTTTTTTTTAAATGCGCGTTTTTCCCATTTTTTCACTTTTTTCACCCCCTCCCCCCTTCTCCCCCATATATAAGACGAACCATGCACATCTCATTGCTGTAGCTTGAAAACTGTAGGAGGAGATAGGTTTACAAAAAGACAAAAAACGAAAATTCTAATTTCTCAGGAGAGCCGAAAAACTAGAAAGGAAAGTTTATTCCGTGCTCAGGCACTGGATCCCCGGCTTTACCATCGCCTATTATCTCGTCACGAGCGAGGGGTCTCATCAGGCGCCAACCTGACTCTTTGTCGTCCAGTTTGGCACAGAATAATGAAGAAAAATATTAGAAAGAAATAAAGGAAATTATGAAAGAGAAAGTTGGAGTGCAAGAGATTTTTGAAACATGGTTGATGCACTCCTCCTTCTCCACAGGGACGTCATAGGGGCCTGCTCCGTCGTTCAATTCTGTAACAGCCTTGTATGCTGCAGAATCTCCATCACTAAGGAACGTGACGTAGCGAAGACCAAGTTGCGTCGACCTGCTCCAAATTCTCGTAGCAGCTTCCTTCTCCATAGCTCCAGACTTGCCATCAAAGTTTTTCTTGCAGTTGCGATGCGTCACCTTCCAGTGTGCAAACTCCTCCGGTGACAGGGTTCGCTGCTTCGTGAAGCATGACTGGCAGAAGTTTGACAGAACTTCAAAGTCGACGACAAATCCTGTGTTCCATTCTATCACACAGCCGATCCCTATGTGGGATTTGTGTCCCCGTGTCATCCACGTGCCGTCGAAACTCACATCGAGGTCGAGAAATTCGTTGCCTTCCTTGTAAGTCCCTCTCTCAGAGGAAGCATGCTTCAGGGCTGCTATCATTTCATTTTGCTTCGTTGTAAAGAAAAGGTTCATATTCTTATACAGAAAGTCACAGTGCCCAGAGAAGGCTAGGTTGGCGAAGCCATGGGTTGACAGTGAAGCACAAATTCGCTTGCAACCGGCGAAGCCGTCACTGTTCATCATTGAATAATATACAAGGCTCAAATTCTTCAGAGTGAAATTACTCGCTCTACCGTCAAGTCCGGTCACACATTCAGCCTCATAAAACTTTGCTTCAACTTTACACTTACTGCATTTGGTGACAATCTTTGCTTCCATATGAAGAATCTGCACGGAAGCATCGCAAACGGCGCCACATTCGGAACACTGTGGATTACAGCGGAAAAGCTGGTTTATCAACGTTACAGGAATTAGGCACTTACTGCCAGAACCCGGAGCCTGACTAGGTAAATCCTTCTCTGGTATAGCAGCCGCAAGCAGTTCTTGCCGACGTACGAGAGGATTCACCCAAGTAGGTGGCTCAACGGGTGGCTTTGGTCGCCGATCACACGGTTGAACATACCCAACTTTACCAAAATTCTGCCTCTTTCGCTTCGGCATCTTACCTCAAAGAATTCTGTAAATCTGCACAAAATTTAGGGGGAGAGAGAAAACACTCGCAACACCTACAAGTAGCACAGTTCAAAACACACTGAAGCTCACAGAACGATTGCAACGCTGGTACGAGGCTAGATAGCGACAGCGCTCTAGCACGGCAACCAATGATCGCGTCGTAGTAAACACAATATTACGTACAAACTAACACACGCACAGGCATGCTGCTTACACCATTGGATGCGTAAAAATGAGAGCTCCGCCCTGATATCTCTCATTGGCCGCTGAAGCAATCCGTTGAAAATTGCCAGCTCGATTGGTCGGCTATAGAGCGACGCCAGAGCCGACGTCAGAGGTCCGCGCACTGATATCGGCCTATCATACCAACCCATACTAAAATTAATAAAAAACAAACTAACGCACGCACAGAGGTGCCAATTACACCGATTTATGCGCCTGAAAAGCAGCTTTAAAATGGACCAAAAAACGAAAAAAGTGACATTTTTCGATTTTTGGGTTAGCCGGTCCCCTTAACTTCTGTTCAGTGTTTCTGGATAAGAAGATGCAATTTTGATAAATGTGGTACCATAAAATGGGGTATCTTAGACCACTTTTTTTATAAATGATGCCATTTTTTTACTAGCTAAATTAAACTTGAATTGAAACATGCAAAATGCAGGTCTATACTCTAGCTTCACTCACCATAAATTGCTGGCTCCTGTCTCTCATAGTCTTTATGTAATTTCAAAAAAAGTGATGGTCTTTCTTACCCCAGCTCATGGGTATCTTAGACCGCAGTGTGGAATTCTAGAGGGATAATAAATTAACTAGTACACATAGCATATTGGAAAGCAGGATCTGAAAGCTTGGAAAGGCCAGGAACTTAACACTTTCAGTCCATTATTTACATATCCTATCCCTTTCCAGAATTCCAGCTGTGATTGGTTGATAGGATTGTGATTTTAGCCCTTTTCAGCTTTCCAGCTGTAGTTGGATAATGGAATTGTAATGTTATCTGCTTTCTAGCTGTGATTGGTTGATGGGAATGCTTTCAAGCTGTGATTGGTTGTTGGGGATGCTTTCAAGCTGTGATTGGTTGTGCCCATAAGCCCCGCCCCCAAGTATGGTATATGTACTACAGTACTAGTTAACTAAATACTTGACTGAAACTTGATCATTACAAACAAAAGGCCTGGAAAATTTAAAAAA